GGCCACGCCACAATCCCTCCTCCTCCATTCTCCTCTGGGGATCTTGGGCACGCACACACACGCGCCCGGCGTGACTTTAAGCCACTGGGTCCGGGATTCGAACCGTGGTCGGCTACATGGGAGTTCAGCGACATAGCCATTACACTAACTGCTGGTCCCTCTTATTCAACCTATTTTAAAAATACCTTTTAATCTTGTCAGATGATATACTGGGAAGTGAAGTGATTTGTATCAAGTACAATAGGTGGCGCTGTGGTAAAACTTTCGTTCCTATAAGAGTTGGGTTCAGGATTTATCTATATTCCCTGCCTGTGTTGTTTCTAAAAAAGATGCTTCTAAATAAGGTAAGTCTGAACAGAACCAAACAGCTTTGCTTAGCGTAATGCACATTTATTTGCAATTTTAGTTTAGTTTTTTTTTTTTCTTTTGAGCACATTGGCATTTTATTCGAGTCTATATTCCGTGGGTTTGACATTAGTAGGTAAAGATTAGTGAATGCTTAGCCATATAATTTTTTGGACACTGTACTTCTCAGTAACCACAACCTGGAGCTAATTTTCCTGTTCAGTTCATCGTTAACAAGCGAGGCAGAGCCTGCGCACTCAGCTCCTAACCGGCCAGCGTGTGTGCTGAGGTCCGCCCTGTGAGGAGCAGTTCGTTATTAGCACTGTACTTCCATCATCACAGCGCGAAGCACACACGTTCAGGGCACTCAAGCAGCAGCAATACAAGGGGACAGGTGTGGGAGGAGACCTGTTTTGGGCAAGGTCAAGTTCACACGAACTGGGTTTAGAAACCCTATTAGGGTACCTACAGCAGTGGTTCAGTTGGTACTGGAACATTCCACATGTGCACAAGTGACATGGGGAAGAAGGAAGCCGAGGAGGAGCTGGGGGGAGGGTGGAGGCTAAGACGGGAGGATGTCACGCGCCAGGGCGGGCCTGTCTCAGTTTCCCACAGTAAGTCTGTTCTCATGACTGCGCAGTTTAGATACGACATCGAGAAAGGCCGAATTCCCTACTTCCTTATGTAGAGCTTCGGGTCCCATGAGAGCACAGATCAGGACAGTCAAATGACATTTGATTTCAAGTGCACGTCTCTCGTCTGCCGGCGTCTGTAAATCTGTACACCTTTACTCCTTTCTGAGTCTTTCCTAGCAGTGCCCAATTCTAAAACTGCTGTTAGTACCAAAGCAACAAGGGCTTCATTCTACTTCTTGCGTGTTCACTAGTCGTCATGGTAACAGGATGTTCAATGCCGCCGCTCTGTGCAGTGGTTTATTTTAATCTCTCGATTCTCTGTGCTGTACGGAGGCAGAGTGCGGTCTCTTTGACTGCCCCATCACGCCAGCACAGCTCAGACTTCACACCTTTCCACCCAGGGCTCCTCGGACCTGACGTCTTGCCCAGTTGTTGAGCAGCTTCTACTTGTGTGTTTGCCAGCATTCTTCATGTTCCCGGAAGTTTGAACTGAACTTGGGGCATTTCCGATTTAAGGTATTTCAGGACTACCTTGTGACTCCAGCTGATAGCATCTTTGCTTTATCTGACCTGGAGCGGCCGGGTTCCTGAGGGCTCTCAGAACCGCACGCTGCCAGTTACGTATACATTACGTGCAGTTCCGTCGTCCACCACTTGGATGCGGCTTCATTTCTGGCCAAATGTGCGGTGGCCAGTGCTCCAGTGTGCTGCAGCTGGAGGTTATTTGGTGGGACTTAGGAGAGCACCCATCCTTCAAATACTGTCCCATGGATTCATCTCCAAGAAGTAAGGGCCAGCTCTAAGCTCAGCATTCGCATCTTCTTTGTCACTATCCACCTCGTGCTGAATAATCTCGTAGACACTACCTGGCCTGCTTCAATCTGCTGCGTTTCGATAGCATCATTTTCTGCCAGTGGAGCATGAACTTCAAAAATAATTTCTCTCTTACCATGTTCTGTTTGTCTCTTGAAGACCTTACCACTCTTTAGCAATATTTCCACTGGCAGCTGTTCCTTACTGCTAAATTACCGAATGCAACAAGGCATATCTGTAAGAGCTGCTTTTCAGCAGTGGAAGCCCAGTAATTTCACTGTGGTAGGAGTCACACCCATATTGATAAGCTGAGCTTAAAGGGAGTTATTGCTATAGTTCAGCATGCCACAAAAGAACAGTCAAGAGCTCCCTGGTGAAATCCGTTACACTGCTCAGTGACTGATGGTATCAGTACAGTCTACACCACCTGCTTGGCCGGCTTCTGCCCTCGTGGCCATCTGAGGTATGTTTCCTAGGACCCTGCCTGTTTGAACAGCACATCCTGGTCTGTGTTGCCATGTTTAGCAGCTGCACCGGTAGTGAAATCAGCCTTGCATCCACACGTGGAAACTACATACATTCATCGTTGGCTCCTTCTCCTGTGAGGTTAGCTACTTTGTGCAGGGAGATGGGAGTCAGCAGACTTGCAGACAGCTGAAGTATTCCACTTCCGGTTTTGTCACTTGCTGTTGCATTATTTCGGGCCAGGGCTCAAAGCAGGCAATCCAAGCATCCTAAACTGTCCTAAGTCCTGTCAACAGCTGTTATCTACAAGCTTAAGGTGTCACTGAGATTACCCATGTTCCTCTCCGAGTGTGGGAGTCGGTGGCGTGAGGCAGGGCTCGGCTCAGTGTCCTTTTTTAACCTGCTGGCTCCCGCAGCTTGGGAGGAACCTGCGGGGTGGACGCCGGGGAGGAGCAGCCCCTGCGCAGCAGCATGGCGTGGCCGTGGCGGGGACAAGAGGTGCGGCACAGTGTTGGATTTTTAAATCACAGAATTAAGTTCGGTAATGTTGGTGCTCCAAAAAGAAAAATGAAGTGTATTGCAATTAATCTAAAGGCATAGATCTTAATATCCCAAAAGTATTTAGCATCTTTTGGATTGTCAGAAAAGTCATGACGTATTTTTCTGTTTTTCTATGTAAAATGTGTTGCGCCTTTTCTGACTACCTGATATTTCATTTTCACACGAGCTGTCCTTGACTTCTCGTTGTAAATAGCTAGGGCTTTTAACTGTTTCTTTGTTGTTTCTATAAACTGAAGGAGCAGAGAGATGCAGCCTGAGGCCAGAGAACAGTGCATTTGGTATGATGATTTTTGTCATGCCTGCGGAGTATTTGCAGGCACTCTTGAGTCTTCTGTATTAAAACAAATCTCAGTAGAAAAATTAACCCAGTATTGTTTGAACAGCATGAAGCTTTTTATTGCTTTAGATAGTCTTTTGAAAGATTAGGAAGCCCGAATAGTATCTACTTAAAAGCACCTCGGGAAGCTGTCGTGGGAGTGGTGACTTGTGCACTTTGGCGTGCCACGTGTGATGACGTAAAATCGCAGTACTTCATTGGCATTGGTTTGGGTTAAACTAGTGCTTCTTGATCCTGGCATTATAGGCCCAATCATCTGTGGAACATCTTTAAGAAGATTCCAAGGGTTCTGATCTGGCAGACGCCATCATAACACTGGCCTTTATCAGAGCCTGTTACTGTTCTTTTCTGTCATGAAGAGTAACATACCAGGGACCAGCAGTTAGCGTAATGGCTATGTCGCTGGACTCCCACATAGTCGACCGTGGTTCGTGTCCCGGACCCGGTGGCTTAAACTCACGCTGGACACGTGTGCGTGCGTGCCCAAGATTCCGAGAGGAGAATGGAGGAGAAGGGATTGCGGCGTGGCCATTCCCCCAGGGGGTGATTTCTCGCTTTCTATCTCTCTGTCTCTCTCTGTCTGGCGAGTGCACATGCCCTATAGCGAAAAACACTCCAAAAAAAAAAAGAAGAGTAACATACCAGAGCGTGCCCGGTCTCCCGAAGTGGTCTGTGAGTGGCCTAATGTTTGATTTTTTTTCCTCTTTTTTAATTGCCAGAGGTATGTGCAATTACCACAGAGAGATTGAGAGGAAGAAAGCACCTCCCAATGGGCATAATCATGCTGAGTTTTGTCATTTCTCTTTGTTTTTTGTTGGACATATACAGACACAGCCCAGTGTGTTTTCAAGCTGCCAAGATGGAACTCAAACTACAGTTGGCCATGTGGGATCCTGCTCCCTTAACCACTAGACCCAATGTTTGCTTCTGTACTAGGAAAAAGAAATCCTTATTTAAAATCCATTTAGCAAGTTTGTATAAAGTTACATTTTGAAAGAGGTAAACTTTTTTTTTTTTGAGAGGTTTTTGCTATAGGGCGTGTGCGCTCGCCAGACAGACAGAGAGAGACAGAAAGCGAGAAATCACCCCCCGGGGGGATGGCCGCACCGCAATCCCTTCTCCTCCATTCTCCTCTCGGGATCTTGGGCATGCACGCACACGCGCCCGGCATGAGTTTAAGCCACCGGGTCCGGGACTTGAACCACTGTCGACTACGTGGGAGTCCAGCGACATAGCCATTATGCTAACTGCTGGTCCCGAAACAGGTAAACTTTTAAAAAGCAACAATGATAAAAAAAAATCTTAGAAGCTGTTGTAAAGTTATAAATGCTGATGCTATTTAAATTTTTGGAAGCATGTAGTAGTTATGATCAAATAAGACAAGTAAGCATTAGTTGTGGAATTTACTATTTTATTTTTAAAATTTATTTAATTCCATTTGTTGTTATTATTTTTTAATTTGACCAGAGACAGAGAGAGAGAAAGGAAAAGTGGGAAAGCAAGTTTCCCTCCTGAGACTCGAACTGTGGTTGGTCATGTGGGAATCCAGCTCCTTTAACCACCATGCGACCTCATTGAATTTTTTTATTCTTGGTATAAACAGGAAAGGGGCTTACTTGTTACTTTAGTATTACGTTTTGCAAAGTCTAAGTGAAATGTACTCTCTGCGAACTGAATGCCCTTTCCCATTTGAGCGCCGACAAATTCGTTAGTAGAGGAAGAATCTGTTTAGGCTGTGCTCGATTGTTGAACTTTTGCTCCTCTTTTGATACTCTCTTGTTAACCTGCTGTTTGTAAATACCAGCTAGACCACTAAGACAGTAATTTTACATATTGTTTTTCAGCTGATTACCTGGCTCAGGCATTTGATTCTCTTTGTTTGGACTTGAAGACTGATGAAGGAAAAGCCTTGTTTTTGGAGTATCGAGCTGTTCCGGTGATACTGGGTCATCTAAGGATATCCAGTAAAGGACTCCTGTCCAATGTCATTGATAGTTTGCTTCAGATGACAGTGGAATCTAGTACGTGTTCAAGCTTTATATTTGTAAAGTAATGAAATAGGAGTGATTTTCTTATCCTTACCTAGTCTAATGTGTAATTTCAGACACTGTTGCATTTTATAATTTAAATGCTTAAAAATACTGGGTCATTGGGAAAGTCATGGTGCATTTTTGCATAGAAAACTCTTAACTTTCCTAATGACTTTGGGCCAGCAGGTGGTGTGGTGGTTAAAGTGCTGGAATCCCATGTGTCCAACTGTGGTTTGAGTCCTGGACCTGGCAGCTTGCATTCTTGCTGTCTCTCTCTCTCTCTCTCTCTGAGAGTGCACATGCCCTATAGCAAATTAAAAAATAATAATGATTAATAAAGTAAATAATTATTAAAAAATCATATTTGATTGCTATGTAACTGAGTCGTTAAGAGTATCACTACGGAGACCAGCAGGTGCCATGATGGTTAAGGAGCTAAACTCCCATGTGGCAGTTTGAGTCTCAGACGTGGCAGCTTGCTTTCTCACTCTCCCTCTCTCTGGTGAGTGTGCGTGCCCTGTAGCAAATTTAAAAAATAATAATAATGATAAGTAAAGTGAAATAATTCTTGAGACCAGCAGTTGGTGTAATGGCTATGTAGCTGGACTCCCATGTAGTCAACCATGGTTCAAGTCCCAGACTCAGTGGCTTAAACTCACGCTGGGCACGTGTGCATGCGTGCCCAAGATCTTGAGAAGAGAATGGAAGAGAAGGGATTGCGGCGTGGCCATCCCCCCTGGGGGGTGATTTCTTGTTTTCTGTCTCTCTCTATCTCTCTGTCTTTCTGGTGAGCGCACACGCCCTGTAGCAAAAACCTCTCCTAAACAAACAAACAAATAAACAAACAATTCTTTTTTAAAATGCACATCACTAGGAGTTAGTTAATTTAGCACAGTTTTTGGTAGTCATCTGTTATGTGGGTATTTTCTGCAAGTGTTGCATAGTGGAACCTCTCTTTGTTCTCTGTTGCCTTTTCTTTTTTTTTTGTTTTTTTTTTTTTTGAGAGATTTTCACTGTAGGGCGCGTGCGCTCGCCAGACAGACAGAGAGAGACATAGAGACAGAAAGTGAGAAATCACCCCCCAGGGGGGATGGTCACGCCACAATCCCCTCTCCTCCATTCTCCTCTCGGGATCTTGGGCACGCATGCACACGCGCCCGGCGTGAGTTTTAAGCCACCGGGTCTGGGACATGAACCACGGTCGACTACGTGGGAGTCCAGCGACATAGCCATTACGCTAACTGCTGGTTCCCCTCTGTTGCCTTTTCATTCTGACAGATCTTGTTGGATCTTCTCCTATCTTGTCTCATCTTGTCTCTTCAACCTTACTGTTTCATTGGAGGGATTGGAGGCAGGGGACACTTAAGCTATATAGCTGTGAATTGCAGCTATTCTGTGTTTGTTTGTTTATATATGTGAGCGTGTGTACGTGTTTTTGTGTGTGTGTGTATATATGTGTGTGTATGTATATATACATATATACGTGTATATATATATGTGTGTGTGTGTGTGTGTGTGTGTGTGTATTTATCTTTGACCAGAGAGAGAGAGTGTGTGTGAGAAAGAGAAAAGAAGCCAACAGATCCAGGACTTGAAACACAGTTGGCCACGTGGGAATCCAACACCTTAACCACCTGATTGTGATTTAAACAGAATAGCTGTTTAAATCACACTTGTCATGGTTCATAATCTGTGGGGCTTTTTCCTCTTGTTTTTTAATGAATGTTGGTATAATAAGTCCTTTTAACTTGTTGCTAATGAATTCTTTTGTTTTTGTTTTTTGTTTTGAGGGAGTGAGAGAGAATGAGTGAGAGAGAGAGAGAGAGAATTTTGCTATAGGGCGGGTGTGCTTGCTGGAGAGACAGAGAGAAACAGAGTCGGAAAGTGAGAAATCACCCCCCAAGGGAGGATGGCCACACCACCATCCCCTCTCCTTCATTTTTCTCTTGGGGTTTTGGGCACACATGTATACATCCTGGTGTGAATTTTAAGCAGCTGGATCTAGGACTCCATGGTTGACAATGTGGGAGTCCAGAATCTTAACCATTACACCATCTGATGGTCCTTCTTTTTTTTTACTTTTCTTTTTTCTTTTACATAAATTTTACTTTACTTAAAGCATATGAAAGATATAATTTCAAATCACACTAAACATAATAAATATAAAACTTGCTTTGTTAAAAATCTGTGATATACATTCAAGTAAAGGCTAAACTTCCAATGCCAACTATCTTTGAGACAAAAATATTGAACATTTACAATAATCAGTTTCCTAAAAGTGCTATTTTTTAAAGAATTATTTGTAGATAATTTTTTTCTAAAATTTATATAAAAAGTCAAGGATTTAGAATGGGTCAAATAAATTTGAAAAGGAGGTATAAAGTTAGAGAAAACACTAACTGCTGGTTCCCAAGAATTATTTTTAATATTATTTATTATTATTATTATTATTTTCTTTTTCCTTTCTCTTTTTCTTTTTTTTTTTTTTAGAGGTTTTTGCCATAGGGTATGTGTGCTTGCCAGAGAGACAGACAGAGACAGTGAGAGGGAAAGTGAGAAATCACCCCCTGGGGGATCACCATGCTGCAAATCCTTTTCCCATTCTCCTCCTGGGATCTTGCACATACATACACGTGCGCGCACACACACACACACACACACACACACACTAGCGTGATCTTCAAGCCACCAGGTCTGGGACTTGAACCATGGTTGGCCCTGTGGGAGTCCAGCAATGTAACCACTAAGCCATCTGCTGGCCCCAATTTTGTTTGTTTCTTTCTTTTTTTTAATTTGCTGTAGGTCATGTGCACTCACATGAGAGAGAAAGAGAGAAAGTGAGAAAACAAGCCAACAGGTTTGGGACTGAGACTGCGGTTGGCCATTGGGAGTCCAGCACCCTACTCAGCATGCCACCTACTGGCCCCCAAAGTGCCATGTTTAAATACCTGTAAGAGGGAACTCATTCTGGTATTTTTGTTTCTGTCTAAGCTTCTGTATATTCCTTTATTCACAGAGCCAGATCCTTCTGTTACTAAAAATACATACCAAAGCTTTAATGTGGTTTTAAACAGATGAACATTTCAGCTCTCCGGGGGAAGACAGGGAAGTTCGAATAAGCAGCTCAGACCGTCTTAAATGATTAGAGATGACTGACGTTATGGCACACTCTGTTTCACCTGAGGGCCAGGACTGAGGAGTGTGTCCCCTAAAACGGTTTCCAGCCCACACATCTCCAGTGGGTCATCTTCTACACGAGAATTTGAGCCTGTGCGTTAGCAGCCTTCCTGCGATCGGGTGTAGGTGCCGCGCTCCACTGCTGACTTGGTTAAGTCTCTTCCAGAGTTACATTCAGCAGAGTGAGTGCACTTTGTTCAGATGCACAGCAATGCGTCTGGCCAGTCTGAAGTGGAGGGTGAAGCAGGAAGAGGTTTCGTAACTGAAGGTGTGCCGACTGGAGACCCAGTAGACACGCTGTGAGGCTGCTTCTGCCCAGTGTACCATGGTACACCCTCGAGTGTACCACGAGATTGTCCTGACCAGAACTTTCTGGAAAGGCACAGGAAAGTTTCCCAGTTTGAATTCTAGTCGTCAAAGGTAGCCATATTGAAAAACTGTTGCTTTAACCAGCTGGCTTTTTCTTCTTCAAACACCTCTCTCTAATCCTAGCCGAATAGCAGCTTCCATAAAGCTTTGTCTTTCGCAAAGTTCTTTTGCTTTTAAAAAAGGGACGATTCATCTTTGAAGCATCCCTGTTCTTCTGAAAAAGAGCAGTCTCTCCTAGGAAGAAGCCGAAGCCCACGTGCAGCAGCGGGCTGCTTGCTGTGATGCTGACTTTGAGCATTTCTTTACCTTGCTGAGTTTGACTCGAGTCTCGCTCAGGATCTTGCTGTCAGATGACATCTTCCTCATTAAGGCCTTCTGCGTGTACCTTTGGGACCTGGTTATCGTTTTCCTTCCTGACGTCTTAAAATCCACCACTGTGCCCTGCTGCTGCTGGTGAGCCCTCGCCCACGGCGCCAGGAGAGCCCCATGCTCTCCTGCTCGGCTCCCCAGCTTCTTCGTCCACATCAGAGAACAGTTCCTGTACTGGCGCCTGTTCTTCCTCTAGGTTTCTTCTTTTGGGAGAAAGAAGAGAAATGAAAATTTCCCTTTTCATTGGCTGAAGCACCTTCTTAAGTTCAGTGTTTTCATCCGTCTGTTTCTGGCGATATCCATGGTCATTGAGGAGGATTTCACACAGCTCGTCCTCGTTCCTTCCCGCTCGCCAGCCCTCCGGGAGCCTCTTCCATCACTCCCTGCATAGTTACACCGAGAGCTGCTTTTTATCCTCGTTCATAACTCGTTGATGGAGACGTTCCTCCCGTTTCTTACAGTCACACTCTTCCCGTCATGTCACGACTGTACTGAATAGCTCTGCTCGAAATCATTTCCTATCACTTCTGTACCTCACCCTCCTCACCTTTCAGTAGCTGATGCAAATCCCTGTTCTCGCGTTGTAACTGGCTGTCTCTTTCCTGAAGCTTGATCTTTTATCTCCTGGAGGTTTCTAGTTCCTTCGGTTTTGTGTAGCAGTTCTGCACAAGGTCCACGCTACTTCCCAGTTTCAAATTCTGCATTTCCACATTTTCCTGAGCTACATGAAAATGCTGCAGTAAGTGGAGCTCATTCACACTCATTTTTTAAAGAATTATTTTGTTTAACTTTGTTTACTTTGTTTTTTTGTTTTTGTTTTTGTTTTTTCCCCATATTTTACTAGAGAGGAACAGAGGGAGGGAGAAAGAGAGATGGAAAGTGAGAAAGCAAGCTGCCAGGTCCGGGACTCGAACCATGGTCTGCCATAGGGGAGTCTAGCACATTAAGCACCATGCCACCTGCCAGCCCCACTCATTCACACAATTTAAAACAGCAACTGTATTTAATTTCTTTATCTCTACCTTTGAACTCTTTTTTTTTTTTAAGAGGTTTTTGCTATAGGGCGCGTGCGCTCG